GGCCGCTTTTTTTCCATTGCAGAATACTTACCCACAGTAAACTCAAGTGTTGGGAAGTGGCAGGTAGAGAATTATTTGTGAGCCTTTGCGACTCTATGGTATGCATGGCTCAGAACTATCTATCAGGCATATTGAAAAATTGAGCGTTCTAAAGAAATAAAAAAACGAAGGATATTTGACTGCCGTTTCTGTCCCACTTCAGAGTGAATACTCACAATGAGCTCAACTGCTGGAAAGTGGCAGGTAGAGAGATTGTTTGTGAGCCTTTGCGATTTTTGATATGCATGGATGCAGCCCACACAGCTAAATATCTTGAGGAATTTCGACGTTCCGCCTGTTGACTGAAGCGCCGTACCGCTGGGTAGCCATCACATTTGCAGATATGTCCTCATCGGTTTTGAAGAAGATCAGACAATGACTGATACTGAGGGGTTCGTGAACTCAACACAAAATTCTCATGGCTGCTTATTGGATGGAGTTAAAATGATCCTACCTTCATGGAATGGAAAATGTTTTATCTGCAACAGGTTGAAAAGTGGTGAAAATCGAACATAACACGAAATAAAGCCTCATATTGCCTGATCGTGGTATTCATAATATCAAATGCACCCTTACAGTTCAAACATTGTGATGTGATTAGCGATGATTATTCAACATGAGTGATATGCAAAAATTCGAACGTCAAAGGGAAATTGAAGCCGCATTTCACGCTTTCCGTGGGCGTACTGATGATTGTGTCATATTGTGGCATCATAGCACAGCCATAAAAGAGTAGATAAAAATGTTCGCAGGATATATATAATATATATATATATATATATATTTAAACTGGTTCAATGTCGGCATCTACTATCCATACCAAAATCGTTGGTGGATGACAGTTTCGATGCCTTTTGTTGTAGAAACACTGTCAGCAGAGGGAGTGCTTTGGTGTCAGATTGGTTATCACTCACCCCCGCTAAAGGTGAAGTCTGTGTTCAACTCTCTCCTAATGCTCAGCACTTTGCATATCACTCAACGCTCTTGTGCATATGATTGTAATTTCACAACACTGCTATAAAAACGACGTCCTAGTTCAGTTCTGCAAATTCAAAGCTGCTTCTTAGTTTTCTGGAGAACAGAGTTTGAGATTAGTTAAAGCTATCAGAGCACGATGAGGAATCTGTGAATACTCTTGCAACTAAGCATTTTTATTCTATAATCTTGTTGAGTTTGAAACTCTCAAAATGTTCTAGTTGACTGACAGATTTTCAGAGTAGAGTGAGTTCAGTATAGTCGCTACTGAGTCCAACATATATTTTAGAAACGTGCAAAAAATTCTGACGTATACATTGTTTGAAATCGCTTGTCTAATACCAAGAGCGGCGTATTGGAATGGCGGAGTCTTTTCTGCCATTACAAAAGTTTGAATTTGCGTGATAATCATTTTCAAGCCATGTATGTGGCCTGTTATGGACACTTAAACGATGCAATAACGTGTTTCGGCCCTGTAGGGCTCGTCAGTTGCACAATGCTTTTCGTCTTAGCCTGACCCTGCTGAAGGGAGAACCCCCTTCTATAGAGGAGACGCTGCGGTATTTCATGAATACCAGTCAAGAGCTACAGAGTGTACAGCGCTGCCCATTTGATGATTTCTTTCACTTGATGGCGCAAATAAATAGTACGTTTGCGTCTCTTTTATGTAAAGGGGACTGCATGCATGGCTCACAAATAACTATCAGGCATATTGAAATTCACAAATAACTATCAGGCATATTGAAATTTGAGCGTGGTCTCAAGAGGCACTTAAAACGCAAAGTTTGAATTGTTTGAGCGCAGTAGAATGCACTGAAAGATGAAGAATATTAAAAACCAAGAACCATCTAATCTACCAACAAACAATACATAAATGCTGAACAATGAAGCGTAAGATGTAGCAGAAAATGCGAAGACATTTTCTGAGAGAGTAACTAAGCCGGCATGAGTTGACGGCAACTCACAGCAGTTTATATGAAATTAAGCATTGAACAGCTTGTCAGCCATTCAGGTTTGTCTGGCATTGAAACCCTAAGGCGTTTTATTTCTAGCAATAACAAAATCACAATGCTTTGAGTTGCGCCAGCCTCAAAAGTGCACTACGTGACATGTACTTATCATAGCTTCATTATGTTACTTGTATGAGTCTGCAGATGAAAATGGAGATACATGCACCAGTTTTGAAAAACTATCATCGTTCATTATCTCATTCATTTCCACTTGTACTCAACTTATGCTGTGCATTTATGCGATCTAAATAATGTGTTGTTCCAGTTTACTATGACCAAAATGTTCCTTACTCAACTGCTTCGAAAACATGGTTTAATAGCTTTCTTAGATCAAAGAAGCCGATTTTGCCCTCTTTCGAAGTTTACTAAGCCAGCGGGATACACGTTTCGCGGACTCTCACGCGTGGCCATCGACTGCAAGAATACTTAGACAACATTTCGTGTTGCCCGATCTTAGCATTTCGTATCGCCCCTTCCCTACTATGTGGAGTGACTAGTGTTGCGTGTGGCTCTGACGAGGTGGGGAGACCGTCAAAGCTTCGTAACCCATTGAAATTAGAAGCCTCGTAAAAGGCTAAAATCAGCCTCACCAATTATAGGATCCAAGTGAAGCCCTTTCGAATATGTGACAACTTTTCCATATTGACAGATATTCTAGCATATGTGTCACAACAGATCATCTGGTCACGATAGACACGAAAAATATTGCGAGCAGGTTCCAAGAACGCCGTCCAGAGAAAGTCTCAATTCTCATTTCAAATGCAACGTAAATCCCTATCACTAATTTTATCATCAGTAATGATGAAAACTTCGCAGAATCGAAAGGAATTCAATAATGCGGAGTTGAAGCGCGGCATTGTTGCCTATCTTCTCCCACAGAATACTCCATCAGCACTTTCGTGCTCTTCTGAAAGTTTTGCGCAAGAATTATTGATTTTGATAGAAATTTCTTGTCTTGTAACTTTATAGTTCGAAGGTGACGTAGGAAGCCAAGTCGAAGGGATTGATAGAATTTTTTCAGTGAACAACTAGTCTTACTATGTCCTCGTCTTTATTACTGCGAAGAAAGAACAACAGTAGTCTGCTGAACATTGGACATGCACATAATACTGAAGAACAAGCGGTTTTCTCATAATCAATAGTGAAGGATTATATTCGAAGCAAATAACAAAGTGCACTAAACATGTGAGAGAAGACCCAATTTGGTCCTCACTTCTGGGGCAAAGCTGAAACGATCTCAGCAATCAAATAACACTCAGTCAAGACGATCGATGAAGTTTTTGCAAAGCAGTCACTTGGGTGGTCTAGCTTTAATGAAACATCAACCGTTTGATTTCCTTGCGCACAGTCCTGTAATATAATCTCTAACAAAGAGCCTTCTTTTTTTAACACTCCTCTACGTAAATAACCAACTTGTTTATGATAAGATAAGGGAGTGTAATAGCGTTGTAATACCATGCGCCAGAAATACCGTAAATATAAATCTGTAAAGTTCCTCGAACAGGGTAGAACTCCCACAGCAGGAAAAATAGCACTTCTATCCCAACGCTTAGAGCCACCTGAAGATGCCGGTTTGTATAACATGTTGAAACCATATTTCAAAAAAAGTTACCTGTAATGATAACTTCAATTCCTCTTCCAAATTTTGAAAAGATTTTCGCTTGAATTTCAGAACCAGTAGTAATAGAGGATAAGTGATAACATTCATCAATACCACACAGTAATTGGTAGCTTGGTTTGCACTTAAATAGAATATTTGTAGCAGTTTTGGCACTTCATTGTCCGTCTTTACAGTGTTTCTCTCGCTTGTAGATTCCAGTACTTCTAGCATTCTATCATTTTTTCGCCTTCTTCGTGAACGTCTTAAGATACTAATTGAGCGTATCCCCTTGTAATCTCGAGGATAGCCTGGCTGTGGCGTTCCATAGGGAGTTCGTCGTTGACTGCCGGAGTGTAGGTGGGTAGGATTCGGCCCCACGCGCTTTGCGACGAGCACCTTAACACTCAAAAACGGCGCTCCGTACGGGTGAGAGCGCATAAATAAATGTTGTTTTTGACAGATCGGACAGACTGGGAGGATATAAAACTAGGAAAACCTTCGAAATATGCTCTGAAGTTATGCTCACAACGGAGTAATCCTCAAACTAAATGCATTCGCGATTTCTACTGCGACATCAGCCGTGCCAATCTACCGTCCATATCGAACCGAGCCGTGCCAATCTATCGTCCATATCAAATCGAAATGGGTGAACACGGGTTTTCAGGAGTTCTACTTCGTTAAGCCTGATATGCTTTGCCAGCTGTCGCGCGAAACAGTATCATGTTCGAAAATCTAACGAAGTAAGTGTTGTCTATATTGCCAGTGAGATCTAAGAAGCCGACTTATTAAGAGTCTAAGGGACTGTGTTGTTAGACTAGAAAATAGATGCACCATATCTGCAATTATGGAGTCTCACACAAAGTCCAAATGCCTATAGTTCGCTAGTCTCTGTAATCTGTGCAATCTCTACAAAGCTAAGAGAGCAAGCAACAACTAACGCCTTGACGTGCTGGAAAAAATCCTGAAAAACATAAGTGGAAGGGATTGTAATTCTAGTAATCAAATACATGTTGCGAAATCGCAACCGTTTGTTTATGCTTGGGAAACTATGAAGAAGCGAGCAATATGAACGATCTGAGCGAAGAACTGTTAAACTCTCACACGAAATTTATCGCTACCTTTCAGCATGATGAAGTACAAGACAAAAATAAATGATCACCTTACAGCCATTTGAGAAAACGGTAGGTCCATGGGCTCGAATGTACCGTGTTCAGGGACATAAGCCAGGCCGACGTATGAACTTAAACACAACGCAACCACAGCGATATAAAATAGGAAGACCAAAAAAAGGCAAACCTGCAATCGCAGAAGCTTTACAAGCATGCTTCGTTGCAAAGCAAAACTCCAATATTTATGAAAGAGTGGTGTCAAAACAGGCGTCGGTAGTGCAATGGTTCAGCACGCGCTCCCAGAAAGAGTGAAATCTAGGTTCCAATCCGGCTGGCGCAAATGTTTTTGCACACCGCTCTACATTATTGGGTTTATTGTAACATCGCACCACCGCAGTAGACAGTCAAATAAATTATTTTTCAATATTTATGTTTTTTGTGCTTGCCTCTTGGATCAGGCGAAGGATTTCTCGATTAAATAGGAACAAAAGAATATTCGACCTAATTCACTTACAAAAATTTCTGAAACTTATGTGTTAGGCGGCGACAAATTTATAAACCAATCCCACTTGCTGGACAGGAACTTTTCGTAGAAGTATTATCGAATTTTTAAAAGCTGAGACCTTTTGCTACAGCTCAACTTCGCCGGTTTTTCAAAACACCCATTTATAGCGCTGTATAATTCAGAATAACATTTTGCTCCGCACTCGTCTTTCGACTTCATTTTATCGCGCGCATAATTTGCTGGAAACACTAGAAGAATATCAGCGTGTAGATAATTTTCCATAGTATCAGAATCTCACCTTTTTATCTGAAATTTTTCTCGAGGCGGTAAAAACTCCCCAATTGATTAACAGTATTTCAAACGCGATTGATTGCAACCCACCCCCTCCCCCCCCACTCACTACCGCTCCGTGGCTGTATCTGATAGGCAAAATCGTCGAAAATGTAAAACTCGATATTATTCTTCCTGATAACGATTTCCAACAACTAAGCACGGTGTTGGGATTAGTGAAACTAACGTTGTCGAATGTTCACTAATAGTTTCTAAGAAAGAGCTGTATCCACCGAGGTTCAAAGCACATGTCCTTTCTTTTCCTACAGCGCTATTATGAGAGATTTTTCAAAAAGTAAGCAGATTTTTGAATTTTTCGAAACTTGCGTTGTCTAATGAATCTTAGCGCTTTCAGGAAGGAGCATTTCTCAACGACATATGAGCGAGATAGAAAAAAACACGTGCTCATGTGAAACATAATTTTATTTTGGATTTTATAGCGCTATAAAAGGGCGTTTCAAGAAATTGAAGATGTGCGCTGTAGCTAGAGACTTAAGCCTTCTAAAAATTCTAAATACTCCTTTGAATGGTTCCTGCTCAGCAAACGAGATTGGTCTATAGATTGTTGCCGTCTAACATACATTGAATTTTTCTTAGAAGGGTTAGTAGTAAATCGAAAGCTCGAGTTTCCAGCTAGAGTTTCACATGGCCGTTTTTAATAAGACCCTTTTATGAAGCTGTGTCATTCAAAATAAAATTATACTTATAATGCTCGCGGAGCTCAACTCTCACTTCGCCGGAAGCAAGAAACACACATGAACGTGTAGAGAGAATCTTTTGGTGTTAAAGTCAGACGTCTCATCTGAAGTTCCGAGAAATAGTTCCTAATTTAGTAACAAGAATCGTACTCATCTATGACTCTCTAAAAGACCAGTCGATCGACCGGCGTGTTGAAACGACCAATATGTCCTGCGCCCCGTGTCATTCCCCCTTCCCACTCCGTGAAAAAGCCAAAATGCCCTTGCCCGTGTTTGTGAGTTTGGTCATAATCTCTCTGCTGTACCGCAGAGAAACGGTCTTTCCAGAAGATGAACGTACCGTTAAAATCCTTGTATCCCGCGTTATCGAATGATTGCTAAGATTCCATAAAAACTATGTGTCCGGCGAGAAATATGCGCCTGTGAACTATGATTTTATTTTCATCTCTAGAGCGTTACATATGGGTCTCTTCAGAAAACGACCATGTATAGTTCTAGCCAAAGAATTCAACTTTCAAATGATCGCTAAAACTCCTATGAAGAATTCTTGAACAGTGAATGATGTCGAATATCTATCTACTGGTCCCTTGTTACCCACAAGCACCCATGCGAGTGAAATTTCTAAATCGTGCTATCACTTCTTTGAAAGTCTTATGATCCCGAGAAAATTTTCAGAGATTAAACTTACATTAGAGCCTGTTGTGGATAGTAAATGTGGAATACATCTTCTTTTGATATCCGAACACTTTTGTTACATTGCGAAAATCTAGCCCAAACGCCTCATACCAGTGGCTTTGGAAAATTCAAAACGTTTGCTCCATTTAATCCCTTGTCATACTTATGCAAATGATATTATGCTTCAGCTACGCTGACGTTCTCGATTATCACTCACTAATCCATAGAAACTATGCAGTTGAGAACACGAGAACAACTAATCTCAATTCGGCATCAGTTCTAGGGTGATCCATCTTCTTATCCTTTTCAATCATCTTACTGCTTTTCTGCAAATACTGATGAATGCCTGAAGTCAGCACAGACACGCGAAAAAGTGTCATGGAACTTTCATAGAACATTGGCCGCTAGCCGATAATGTAAAATCCTATTGATTTACATGCGGCGGTGCAAGGAATTCCAAAGAGCATCAGATAGTACGCTCAAAATGTCGTCTGGAGAGTGTGAGTGACTGCTTCATGAGAAATAAAAAATTTTCACCACATTTTTAAACGGTTTTTATTAATATGTATACTTTTTCGGCTATACTATCATGACATTGTCCTAAAATTCTTCTTAAAAAAAACTGTCTTGTTTCCCAGAAAATCGACAAATATCATGATGCGCATTTTTTACGATGTTACGTCATATCCATGCATTCCGTTGATTCGGAAGCAATATACAAATGCACTTCGCAAAAACAGTGTGAGAATATATCTCTAAAATAAGTATATTACTAGTAACTATGAGATTTTGCCCACCACCGCGCGGTCTGAGAAGGTGCTTGTCAAACCACATGGTGGTGGGCAAAATCTTGGCCACTGACCAAAGCGACCTTTGAATTTATTCTCTTACTTTACTTGCAGAGTTTGTTGTACATACTCTCTAGAGAGAATTGTTACCTGCACACAGGAAGCCTTCAACAAGAAGCAAGGTCAAGCAGAAATCGTAGTGATTTTACAAATTTATGAGGCGTGGGCGGTCTCAGAGAACGAAGAACTGGGATATGCAACTTCTACATAGTCAGACAAAATCAAATATGGCAAGAATATGTTCATTGATATCATAATGTAAGCTTGCTTGTGTGCCCTACGGGTACAAGAAGACTTTGATGTTCTTTGTGATTCGTATCTCTTCATTCGACTGCTTTTATAGACCTCGCTCAAAAACAACAATAATTCGATCACATAGCATATTTTGAGCCAATTTTTTAGGTCTGGTATGGCACTTATAAATTGTTAGACTCGCACCTCTTGCTCCTTTCCAAGCTCCTCAATAAAATGTTGTCTTTCGATTTAGCCAATCCCTTTTAGAGAATTCACATGTGATTGCTTGATTATAAGATTATTATCGATTTTGAATGAGGTCTATAAACGCCTTTGAATGAAGGGCTATGATTCATTTTACCAGCCACGAGCTCGATTGTTAGTCACTGCAATGTCGGGGAATTTAACCACCTGACTTGCGGTGATCTGTTATTTAGCGTTGATTCCTTCATAAGTAGCGTGCATTCCCTGCAAGGAGTTGGCGGAACCGATAGACACCGTACTACTGAGGAGAGTGGGAAGGCGAAACAAGCGCCTCTCTTGTTCTTCGTGGTTGTCGGGGAATATTAGCCGCTCCGGATATCCATGAAACTTGGAGTAGCCGAGGTTACAAACAATCATCATGTGTCACTCAGTGAACTAGAAAGAATACGATGACCCTCGAGAAGTTTGGCACCAACTTCGTTGCATAGAAGGTGAAAAGCTTGGTTGGTCTTGGAAGATTTGAATTAGCGTCAAAGTTTAGTAAAGAAATTATGTGATTATTTTGTTCACTTCTGAATCAAATGATATAAATTTTATTTTCAGCCCCAGCTTGATCTTCTTGATAATGTACTCATTAGAATAAACACTATTTCGCGGATGAATTCAACACTCACCAATATTATTGGACGGCGTAGGATTTTGTTAATCTTCAATGGGAAAAAAATGCACAAAGCTCGTTGTAGAAGCAGGTATAAGTGGGCAAAGTTCATGCTTAGTGCACTGGCGACGCTAATTCCTCCCGTGATCTGCAAAAGAAAACAGTTCTAGCACACCTCAAATCTCATGTCGAGATGGTTTGAACATTTTCTCTGACTATAATGAAATTCCATTAGTTTGAGAAGAGCCCTATTTTGTGAAAAAGCATCTTCACTAGCCAAAAGCAGAAAAATGAATGGAATAGGTAAAGGCAAAAGTTGGTGCGCTTTGACCATTACGATTTTTAGCTTTGCGGCGTAGTGAAGAACACTCAATAAGTTTTTCATATAGACTTCTAGCTGAGGCAATCATATTTCTGTACAACTTATTTTCCTAACCTAGGTAATCATATCTCCGTATGTCTGTACAAACGACAAATCAAAGTGAAGTGATCGGCAATTGTGTAGACATTATACATGAGATGACTTTCGCGCTAGGATTTTGCAAAATTCCTTTTTTTTCAATGCATTGGTAGTATAAGAAGCTAATATTATCATATTCACTTAGGATACTTGAATACATACGGGCGACCCGTTTTTACAGAACTTCTCACTCTAAAGCACGTCTGAATCATTTCTTTCTCGCACGATCATCACTCATGGTAGTATTCCAGTCTTGAACATAATGATTTCCGCGAGACGAGTACCATTATTATCTCATCACTTCCATTTGCGAATACGTAAGGCTCTTGTAGGACGTGAACACGTGCTCTCATCGTTATAAGCGGCTGAAGACAACTGCATTCCTAGACTTCAATTCAAAGTTCTGTTCGTCCGCCTGCGTGTATTCTACTCATAATACCACCTTTCCCTCCAGATTTCGCAATCAATGTGTAGTCCACTGGCTTTCGAAGGTAGGATGACTTGTAGACTCTGCGCTGCACATTCAAACTCAACATCAAGGATGGCGTAATATTTCGGAGGACATATTTCAAGCGTTCTGTGGTTGATGCATAAAATCCTCAACGGTCTGACTTTCGCGGACCCAAACTAGGCGTATTTAATTGGCAAGGCTCCCACCACCAGCGATAGATTCACTCCACATCCTCTGTCTCAGCGTGGGAACGACTCCACTCCCCTCTGCGACAGT